AGTTCATTTCTAACATGCTTGAATTAGATTATTCTTCTTCTAATATGCTGCTAGAGTTTCCTGTGTAAAACATAAAGTGTTTCATTAGTTGTGTTTTTTCCATTTTAAGAGATTTTTTTTAAATTCGTAATTTTAAAATTTTTATAATAAAATTAATATAATTTCAACTCATAATAATGAATAATGAATTTATTAAATCAAACACAAAACATGAATCATTTTTTATTAAGAAAGTGTTTAAATAAAAGAAGGTTTTTTCTGTCAATAATTTATTATTAAACTTTTTTTAGATTTTCTTGTTGTTTAGAACTTAAAAATAATCTATAACTTTTTCTTTATTTAATGATTTCATACCAAACCTCACTCCCTCCTCCTGACACAATTAATTCTCAACCAACTTATTCAAATACTCAGACAAACGAACAAGTCCAGCAAGAAAATGGAATAATTCATAATCCAAACCCATCGTACGAATATTCAAATAATACAACTCAACCATCAAACTATGTTCCTTATCAACCATCAAACTATGTTCCTTATCAACCATCAAATTATGTTCCTTATCAATCACCCCAATACTATCAACAAACTCCATCATCCTTGCCATCTTATAATCAGACATTTACTACATCAGAACCAAAATACGAACAAGAAGTTCCTGTTGTATTATCCTCATCTTCTGAATCTGATTCTGAACAAAGTAAGTGGTTTCAATTTACATTAACATTTTTCTTTTTTGGATTCTGCTTCATTTTCTTCTGGATTGCTTCTTTTGTGATTTCTCGAAAATCAAATCAACCTTTTACGCGGGTAATAGGGATGGTTTCTATAACATTATTTTTAATATCTTTTATTTGGTGGATCATATTCGTTACATGCTTACTTTAATTTAATTCTTCTAAATTTCAATCCTAGTATTTCTTTGTTTTTTGTCTATTAGTTAAATAAAGAATAAAAATACTTTGAACTAATATTTTTCTGAACAAAATTTCTGAATAAACAAGAAAAGAGTTAGAGAATTCAGTGTAATGTATTGGGTATATGTTTCAAAATAAAATCTAAATCAGACTCAATTACTTTAATTCATTATTCAATTAAAATATATTTAATTATGAATTTAATAATACTTAATTTGTATTACTTAAGAATAGTTTATATTTATTGATTCTCTTCACCATTTATTTATTCTTTTTGTATTATTTCTTTCATTTGTTTTATTTCTTTTTGAATGTATATCATTTGAATTAATAATTATTATATTATATTATATTTTGATATGTCTGTTTGTGTATTTCTAGTACTTCTTTCTTATTTCTCTCATTTCATATTTGTAAATGTTATTGTGGTGTAAATTGTTTGAATTAAATGTATTTCATTTGAATATTATCATTTCATACTTATTTCTTAATTTATAAATTGTAAGAAATGGAATAATATATCATTTTATAATATTATACGTTTTACCATTCTTTATTTT